TGAGAGCCAACAGCTGACAGGCACGAATGTTAACTAGCATGCTAGCATGCAAAAAAAATCGATAGCTGCATTCGTCACACGTGGGAAAGAATTAAATCTGCATGGCACTTTACTCCAATTGCCTGATTCACTTCTAAAACTCAATTCTGATTCTGATTCCGCAGAACTGGGTTGGGTGTGAAAAAGTATTTGTTGTTAACATTCTTTTTTCATTCGGTTTTTCCAGTTACGAGTCCTTTTTAAAGATGATCGTTTTGTGCTCATTTTGTTCAGTTCTTTTTTCGTAACAGATTTAATGTTTAGTATAGAGCTTAGAAAAAATTCGCAGTGTGAGATAGGCAATAAGTAAGGCATGTAGCAACATCACCACAGCAAAGGGCACTCCTTTAAAAAAGGCAACGAGGGCAAAAATATTTTAAGTCAGGTGATATCGATTGCTGTATGAGTCGTACGATTTTTGAATCAAGCACAGGCAACGCCGGGTCATGCTGCTAGTATATATATATATATATATATATATATATATATATATATATATATATATATATATATATATATATGAAAACACATGAATGACATTTTTATAGATTTTATTACTTAAACGGTATTTTTAGTGGATATCCTTATTTGAGTAGACGCAACGTTTATTTGTTAAAAATTATTATTTTTTTTTATTTTCGTCTACAAACCTGAATATTCAGAAAGTACTCTTGAAGAAAAATATGCGGTCTCTTAATGATTCGGGATGTCCTTTGTTATGTGTTGTCGTTCTGAAGCGTTTTTTACACGGTCGAAATAATTTCGACGTTAAGCTCTTTACATTACTGACTGGGTAGATGTTTACCTTTTTGTTTTTCTTATTTTTTTTCAATCAACGCATTGGATTTTTTCTTGTCTAAGGTGTTACATTTTCTGGCGACTTGTCTTTTTGGCGCAATAACAGGTTTTTTTTTTTACACACACACACACACACACACACACACACATATATATATATATATATATATATATATATATATATATATATATATATATATATGTACTTTCTAAAAAAGTAATTAGATTGTTATTTATTAATCCGTCATATTTCCATCACTTTAAACAATATATTAATGGCTACCGATATTTGAGAAAACATTCCTTTTTTATGTTTTAAACAGTATTTTTTTCGAATACTCGACAATTCCTTTAATAAGATTACTCTAATATTCACGTCGGTAGAAGGAAATAAGATATTCTTTAACAAATAAAATCAGAACATCTACTCAAATATCTAAAGATAACGTTTAAAGTGATATATATATATATATATATATATATATATATATATATATATATATATATATATATATATAACACTCTGTGTGTGTGCATGCGCGTGTGTGTGAAGCATTTTTTTTCCTTTTGTTCTTGTTAGAGACATCATTCTGCACTGATGCAATATTCAGAAATCCATCATATTTTGTTATTTATAACAACGTTAATTTAGTTGTGGGACTAACTTTGTAATCTCTTTTGCCCGTATTGTTTCTTTGATGTCTCAAGAAATATTATTACTGCTCGAACAGTAAAACAACACTGTTACGTCACGCCACGATACTTCTGATAAAAAATCTAATTTAATACTGCCGCTGGTTATATAAAACTATTATTTGTTTTATCAGGCAACTTGTGGCACCCAGCAGGATATTTTTGTTTACGCTATTTTTTTCCTTCTACACCCACAAATAATGTAAAAGAATAAAGAGAAAAGAAAAATGTATTGATAAATTTTGTTTTATTCTACTGTATAATTATTTTATACTGTTATTTTTTTTCCTGTCTTGTCTTTTCAGAAGAGTCATTTTTACTTTTTCACCAGAGGCGTCCGGACTATGAATAAATAAATAAATACATAAATAAGTAAATAAATAAATAAAAATCTACTTTCCTTACAAACAAACAGACTGTAATAAAATGCAGTGACAGACAGGAAAAGTTGGCATTGTTGTTTGCGCATGCGCGTCCTGATTAGTTCATTGGTTTATCGGGTGAGGTAAAAAGAAAGCAACAGAAACAAATATTTGGCCAACTAAAGCCACAAGACATTTAACCCGAGGCATTTTGTCACCTGATTTTGTTGTTGTTGTTGTTGTTGTTGCTGCTGCTGCTCTTCTTCTTCTTCTTCTTCTTCTTCTTCTTCTTCTTCTTCTTCTTATTATTATTATTATTATTATTATTATTATTATTATTATTATTATTATTATTATTATTTTCCTTCGATTGTTGTTGTATACACATTTCCTTCCGGGTCCCAAACAGAGACCCAATTTCAGAAATGGCATCAATGACATTTTCGACTGACTATTTTTTAAAAAAAAAAAAGAAAAAAAAAATGAAAAATGAAGACAATCTAAGATCACATAAATTTACATAGATAATCCACTTCGCAATGTGTTAGCTGAACCTGCTAGTACAATGATGATGTTGTTGTTGTTGTTGTTGTTGTTGTTGTTGTTGTTATTATTATTATTATATTTCAATTTCTGCTATGGTCACACTACCTACAAAGTCTGTTGGAAAACCTATGGCACATATGATGTGTTGTTATGGCAACGTTTCATAATTTGTTTTTCTAACTCCCTTACAATCACGAGCGTCACATGGACAAAGTTCTTCTCAGTTTTGGGGCTGTACTTATCAATTGTATTTCTCTTAAGCTGGGATTTCCGGGTATTTTTTAAAATGTTGTTGTGTTCCTTTTTTATCATTACATAATTATTATTATTATTATTATTATTATTATTATTATATCTATGTTTCTGAGACGAGTTATTGTAATTATTTACACTGTTTACATTGTTCGGATTGTTGTCTTCATCTCTATTGCCAATATCACGACGTTTCAGGAGTTGTACTCTCCGACCTTCTTCAGCTGAGTGGAATTTCGAACTGAACTAATTATTTCGCCAACCGGGATAAATTCTTCTAGTTCCACGCACCATGCCTCTTGCGGATGTCTCAGTTATCTCCCTTTAACTCAGCTCTTCAAATTTTTCTTCAGCATTGCAGTAGCCAGGTATTGAACTAACGCTTTTATCAACTGGATTATTTTTTTTAACGAAAAATGATCAGTGGAATATGCCATGAAGCCTCATAGACACATGCAATGTACTTATATGAAAGTAGACATCGAGTTAAGTATGTCATATAAATATATATGTGTAAATCGGTGGTTGTCAATCAACGGGCCGCGAAACAGTAGCAGTCAGTGAATCATTTCATACACAGAAATACAAACTTTTTTTTCTTCATTTTATTGACTATCTCGGTCTTGTTTATGCTGTTTTGTTATGCACGTAATCGAACAACGCTGCGTGGAAAATTTGTCTTGCATGACAGTGGACTGTACCGCAGAAAAGTTAGGGCCGCTGTTATAAATCATATCATTTTACGCTGTAAATTCTACCTAAAACAAAATTATTTTATCGGCGAAAAGAAAAAAAAATCTTTTACCTAATTGCCACGTGCCTAAATACAGTTTCTCCCTCTGACCAAAGGGTCAGAGGGAGAAACTGTATTTAGGCACTTAGTATGGGCTAAGTGGACTCTCTAGATTAGTTAATAGAAACACAATTGGTTAAGGAAAATTGATCTCTAAAACGTTGCTGAGGCAAAAGGGAAACCGCTCCACTATTTTTCCTAAGAAGTCACCGTAGCAGTTCCTATATATTAAAGCATTAATATTTATTTCCTATGTGTTGGACAGAAGGTATTAAAGGGTTATATGTAGAAATCTGAAATTATCTCCGGATTAAAAAAAAAGCATAAAAAAAAACATTATTAATCGTCTATTTGTCTTCGAGTTCACGTGCTCGCGAAATGTCACTCGTGTGTCCGAGTAAGTGTGTCGGATAGTGCGTCTGCCAAGGCTTCGTTAGTAGACGTCAGTTGAGAACCACACCCTTTTGATGACACTAAGAATTAATCAAACAAAGGTTTGCACACTTAACTACAATCTAAAACGGTGGTATTGACACGAGCGGTATCATATGGCTAAAATCAGTGCAGCCATTAATTTAGAAAATAAATCCGAAAAAAATCATTTTTCGTATTTTTTAAACCTTGTCTTCATTTTGTTTTTTCAGCATTGACTGAGTTTTATATCTCATTTATGCGGCAAAAACGCTATAGAATTAATTCCATAAAATGACCTAAAATTGTTTTTATGATCATATATATATATATATATATATATAAGGAAGAGGATATAGTGGTTCCAACGAGAGAAAAGTGTGTATGTCAAAAAGAAGAGAGAAACCGCAAACGTTTTTAGTTGCAATGTGGATTTTTTAAAAAAATCCACATTACAACCTTTTGCGGTACCTCTCTTTTTATATATATATATATATATATATATATATATATATATATATATATATTACCGGAGGTGTCTACTTTTCAGTAAAACAGTATTGCAGAAGGGAAGAATGGCATCTTTCTTTAATTTTGCGAGAAGGTGCACAGAAAAAATGATGGCCAAGAACTAGAGATATTTCTTGTAGCGTTGCGCGTCGTCTCTGAGATCATATGATTTATCGGCAATTCCTTAGGCCCCAGCGCTGCATCACAAAGAGAATGACCGATGTAAAGTTTTCTTAGATTTCTTTTCTTCACCTTATTTAGGGGCTGCGTACACAATAACAGTAGCACCGTTTCTTGGAAGATGAGAAAAGGAGAGAAAGCGGTAGAGAAAACGGGTCTTAATAGGCTAGCTAGCGACTTGCCATCACCATTCGCTGACTTGTCTCAGCATTCGGGTTATGGCTCGAGCGCGTGTTATTTTCGCTCTTCTGTCGGTTTCACTGGATTTTTGTTCTGCTGAGAAGTACAAATGTGGTACAAGGCCTCTATACAGTCTTAAATGAAATCATTCAAAGTGAAAATTATGGTTTACCATTTCGGGCTCCCAACGCATTCTGTAACATATATTACCGAGTAATATAATCAGGGAAACGACGTACGGCTATATCTTGCTGAAATACCGGTTCTTGTACGATCATCAAAGTTAAGCAACGTTGTTCCTGGTCAGTACGTAGATGGATGACTGCTTAGGAATAACAGGTGCTGCATGATTGAATATACTGACGGTGTAATTGAAAACCGAGTTCCAATTACACTTGGATTCATTTTTTTTTACTTAAGTATACATAACATTGCGAAAGGTATGAATCTACTACTTCTCTCTCCAGCTATGAATTAATTAGTATGACTTTTATCAGTAAACTATTATTTTCTCAAAAAAATCCTTACAATGTAAAACTGTTTCTGGTCTTAAATAACCTGCAAATGGTACATAAACTGTTAAAAAAAATAATAAAACAATTAATAAATTAAAGAAAAAATATGTATTTCAACAAAAACAAGAAATAAATGTTTACAGTCAGATAATAAATCTAAAAAAGTTCTTATTTTTCGATAATCAGAAAATAATATAAAGTCTTAAATCTTTAAGCTTAATAACTAATTTAGACCCTACACCTCTTAAATTCTGATTGAAATCCCACCATTTTTATTTCCTGGTGACTTGCTCATCTTAAATCTTAGTTTCTATCAAACGTTTTAGCAGCAATGGAACTGGCCATCATGACTTCAGTTATTGGTTATGTTTACAGAATATTCAATTATGGTTCTCTTCTGGTCGCCTGTTTCCTTTCTGTTCTTTTTATAATCGCTTCTGCTGAAAAAGCTTTGATTACCGTGTTAAACCATCGAAATCAAAGCCGTTTTCTTCCTTATATGGTTAATCAGATTCTGGAAAATCCTGATTCGTTAATCGAATTTTCAAACTCATAATTGGCAAATAGAATTCTGCTAATTTCATTCAATAAATTATTATATTTAAAACAAAAGAAAAAAGAAATCACATTTGACTTATTTACTCTTGACTATACTTTGACCAAATCACATTCCACCTCAGTCAAGACGCTGCAGGATATTTGCAGTTTATATCATCCGCCGGGAAATAAAGTGTTTTTATCCTGTATGATATGAACAAATATCAAGTTTGGAACGAGGAGAAATAGAAAAATAATCAGTTCTCAAACACTCTGAGTTAATTAGAGGTACTTCTTTAGATCAAGTATATATAAATTATTAGGAGGCGTACATCATAGAGAATAAGTAAAAAGACAAACAGTATAGGCATGTGTGTGCTTAGACGTAGCTACCTTTGTACGACAAGAGAACTAGAGATTAAATGACATAAGAGAGACTATAGCCAACACCTGAAATTATTTAAACAGATTGAAATAACGATTTTTGTGCCTCGCCAGAGAACACAAAATGTCTGTCAAAATTACTTTACTGGGAAATAAATAAAAATTTCGATATTTTTTTAATTAGTTTGACAAAACAATTTTTCTTGTCTTAATTTACCACAATACTGATTCTATCGAACTTATCTAACTGATTCTATCACAATTATCACCAACATATGACGCCCAGCATAAATCTCACCTTATTAAGCAGCGGAAACGATTTGTTGAAGAAGGGTTCTTTTAATAGAAAGAGGGCAAGTCAAATTCCACCCACGATTAACAGAAAAAGCTCAGAATAAACGCTAGTACCGTCCAAAGAGCACAAAATACTACAACTTAAAAAGAAAAACATGAAAAAAAAAAATTAACACGTAAAAACGAACATCACTGAAAATTGATACAGACATGGCGGAAATGGATTGAGGCAGTTATCAGTACGGATAGTTTCCTTATTTCCGACAAACGAAAATTATGAGAATGTTGAAAAAGTCAAATAAAAAATTTTTCAAGTTTGCCCTTGTGTGTCATGTTCGACGAAACATGTTTAAAAGAAACGTCACTGCCCATATAAATATTATATATATGTATGTGTTTTATCTCTCGTTCCCTCTCTCCCTCTCTCTCTCTCTCTCTATATATATATATATATATATATATATATATATATATATATATATATATATATATATATATATATATATATATATATATATATATATACAAGTGAACACAGAAGTCAACACTTAGAGGCGACAGTCTGTTTCATGCTAGATGCAATCGTCCTATAACCGAGAAAATGAAAAGCACTCGTGGCCCATAATGCCCCATACATCAGCATATAAAAATAATAAAATATTAAAATATAAAAATACAAAGTACATGGCCTGGAGATTGCGTTGTAGGATGTATTTTATATTTATATATGTTCTACATCTAATATTGAGTACGTTAACACTATATTAAGACTATATGTTTAAAAAACACACACACGTTTATTTTTGAGAATTATATATATATATATATATATATATATATATATATATATATATATATATATATATATATAGAACAATAAAATATATTAAAAGATTAAAATCTTCAGACACACTGGGTTGTACATTAATATTCTTTCGTTTTTATTATTATTATTTCATTTAGATTTCTCGACTAGTTTCTGCCAACATGGCCATCATCAGGAGAAAAAAAAAGATTCTGCTTGCTGGTAGCGGTGAACTACAGAAATGAATGCCTTGTATATATATATATATATATATATATATATATATATATATATATATACATTCACCGCAAGTAAGGTGGAAGTGCCACTAGCACACTAGTGGTTACGGTGAATGAGAGCAAGTGAAAAGACTAGTGTTTGAGGAAAAGATATAAAGAACGACAGAGATCAGAATCAAGGCATCAGAAGATGTCGATTGAAATTACATTAGAATATTTGAAGATTATAGCCACCAGGGAATCAAGTAGGTAGAAGGGTGTTCCACCTTCGGGAAGTGCGAGAGAAGTAGCAGTTGAAATAGAAGAGACGGCTATATTTTACTGTTTCGACAGCGAAAGCGTGGGACCGAGAATGCCAAACTAGTACCACGCTTAAATGCATGAAACTGGGGTGCCAGTGAAATAGCTTGCCAGAGCATTTGCCATGAAAAAGTTAGAGGGAAGCCACAGTAAGATAGTTATATATATATATATAATTGTCTAATCTTAAAATTTGAATCTTTGTATCCTCAAAATGATTAAAAATATCTTACAGAGATTCTCCCCGGCGTTTTTATAAAACTATTGTACGTTACTCTGAGCGAAAAGAATGTGTAATTAATCTCCAAACTGAACAAAATAATTCCAGGAATATTTACAAACTTATTCAAGATGATCTTCGCCCTCTCGAACCTTCTAACCTTCTGTCCTGGAGCAGCTAGGTGTCCTCACAGATTTCATGTACGACGTCTTTCTGCACATTGGACTCTCATAGCAGAATTGTTCTTTTTAGATCTCAGGTGATATAATGATCGCTCTTCCAGTTGTGACCTCCTGAACAATATTTCCACTCTCCTGTTCCCTCTTTTTTAAACCATTCACTTGTTGGTTCTTGAATGGACTTTGGGAGCCAGAGTTGGTACCATTACTGAAGGCCTGAATGATTTTTCCTCTCACCATTGCTCATTTGGGAAGAGAATGTGGCTGCCACATAACGATTTTAACCCGTTCACTTTCTAGTTGAATAACTCAATGTATTTTTCAGTGATTCTTAAGAGAAATGATATCAAGATGGCTAAACGTCTTATTTGAAAACCTGTAAAAAAGATACTCTATTAATTTAGTGTTTTTGTTTAGATATTAAACATTTTGTGGGATGGACGATTATACTTATAGACAAATTGGACAATTTCAATGTTACACTCGTTATATATATATATATATATATATATATATATATATATATATATATATGTATATATTATTTTGATACGTTTCATACTTTTTTAAAATATAAATATAGTGGCACCATCTACATCTAAAAAAGGCTAAACATAATGGAAGTCTTCTTAATAAAAACAATATACAACACTCAATATCAACTATGAACATGGATGGAATATTTTTGCTGTGTTTTGAAAATAAAACCTACTACAATACTATATGCATACGCAACAATCTATTCCCAGCTAACTGTTAATATACTCCCTCTTTGAACACGGCTAAATATATAGACGAAAGCGCTCTGAAAACTATAACATTTCTAGAGATTCTGTATAATTTATCTAGTGAAAAGAAAATCTAACAATATCATATGAGAAAATATATAAAAAACTTAAAGCTCCTTGTCTGTTATATTTAATGAAGCTTGCATGAAAGAAATATTACTGCATAAATATATATATATATATATATATATATATATATATATATATATATATATATATATATATATATATATATATATATATATATTAAAGTGTGCTATATTTATGGGATAAAGTGCTCAATATCAGAGATAGAGCGTATGCTAATATAAATATAAAAGTCAACATTGAAGTCAACACTCAGGCGATTGCGTCTAGCTTGAAACTCCCTGTCGCTCCTGAGTGTTGACTTAAATGTTCATTAATATATATATATATATATATATATATATATATATATATATATATACGGTTAAAATTGATACCAGTAGTGTTTGGTCATTTTCACCCGCGAATTTCAAATTTGAATTTCACGGGATTTTTCAAACTGTTTATGGTGCCATTTTGTTTAATAGGGCTAAGCCAGTTGGGGAGAGAAAGAAAGACACAACAAAATACAGAAGAACCGGAAAAGTAGTCAGGAAGACATAAATTAATGTAAAAATAGTCATGGTCAGTGGGGACAGTGAGGGGGGAGAGAACAGAAGATGGCATAGTTACAAGAAGCAATATGGGGTATGATATTGTGGCGGTAGGCGTAGACGAATGTAGAGAATCGAAACGATGTGGTGACCTATATTTTAATGGTAAAACGGCTGACGTTTGATTCAACAGAAACCAAAGAAATTAATGAAAAAAATGAAAAAAAAAACTGATTTATATAAATATTTGGAGATAATCCAAGTGAGATAATAGAGAGATAAATCAGAATTATCAGAATTATTTATTTCTAAAAATTTAGAAATATTTTAAAGTGTTTTTTAAGTGTTTACTAAATACGAATATATTCATACATACATGTATATAAATATATATACCAAACCAACATATATTTACATATAATCCTATATTAGGATAAAACATTTTAATTTATCCCTCACTTCCAAAT